CCCCGACCCCCCTCTCTTTTGCAGCAATACGGTTAATTTTTTTTGTTTTGTTTTAAATTACGATATCAGTTTCAGCTTTATCTGGTTTATGTCAGTTTTTGTCAATATTAGACGTTTCTTTCCAAAAAAATTAATATTCCTATTCATGTGGATACAGTTAAGATGTCCCAAGCAATAAGCTGAATGTGTATTTTGTGGGGTTGTCAAGTCTTGTGCGTTACTATGCATACACCTCTAGATTAAAAGTTTTTACACTAGCAACAAATTAATAAAAAAAAATTAGTATGATTTCAATTAATTATTATACAAGTCAACAAATTTGATAATAGTTTGTAACTTAATAGCAGTGTAAAAAAAGAAAAAAGGAAGGAGTTTAGCTCGGTTGGTTTGTGTGTGAGTTGATGCAACTCTTTGATATCGAGTTTGACTCAGGAATAAAAAACTTTACACTATCATGTCATGTATTATATTACCATAATATGTTAAAAAGGTTTTAGGGAAAGGATTGAATGCTAGGAATTCTTCATGCATTTTGATTTTATTCAATATTCATCAAAATGGAACGACAATGCCTAGTAAAGAAAAGAGAAAGTTATATGACAAATGTGCTATAGTTATGTAGCCCAAAATAAAATAAAAATGGACAATAGTAGTGTTGCTTTTAATTGTATGCCAATTTTTCTTCTATTCCTTAAAACTTTGTATTTGCTGCACTATTAACATCTTTCTAGTTTAATTCTGCAATAAGACATGTTATACCAAGCTTGTGGTACTTTACTGCAGAGGATTTTTGTTGAGTATAAACAGCCATTTGCACTCACTTACCTTGGAGTATCTGTGATGGTGATCTATCTTCTCATTTCAGTTTTCAAAAAGTGGACATGTAGCTTACTGAAAATTTTGTTCAGAAACTTTCATGAGGACTACACATTAATTAGCATTTCCACTGGACTAAAAAGTAGTTTGATTACTGATAAGGAAATTAGAGAAAGAGAAGAAGGAATGCCTTTGGTCAAGAAAGAGGAAGATGAACCTCCCTTGCTTGCACTACAAAGTTATGAAGGTAGTTCATGGAAAATTGCAAAGTGTGGCTTGTACCTCACTCCAATATGGTTTGCACAAGAGGTAACAAGATCTCATTCTTTACATTTTGATTTTTTACTTCCCTTTATTTCAGTTTACTTTTTGTAGAGAACCGAATATAGCTTAGTTCATATCGGTTAGAATTATGTTATGTTATCTGTCTGAGAGAGAAATATTTATTAAGAGGAGAGTTATTATATCTTGTTATTTTCATCAGTTGTTTACACACATCTTCATAATGATAGATTTTGTTCACTTTGAAATTAAAGTCTCATAGTTTTATTTTACCACCCAAAAGGCCTCTTATCAATAAATATATATTTACTTTATAAACTCTTTTTTCCTATTGTTCTACCAATGTAAAATCTTATTTGTATCCTAAAATATCAACATTAACAAACACTTTAGATTGAAGGTACTACTTGTTTCAGAAGTGATTTAGTGTAATGAAATACCATTACAAAGATTAATGATCGGAATATTATGAACTTAAAAATAATTGAGACATGACTGATATTTTGGTAGAATTTCATACTGTTTTCTTAGGCATGGTAGTTTTTAGTTTTTCATGCCTTAAAGTTAGAGTTTAATTTCTCATTTCACATGAAAAGATGGTAATATAGAACAGGATGCGCATGTATTAACTATGTCAAAATGAATAAATCTAGAAAAATCAGTACATGAATATATTTTAGTTTTCTTATTTTTTTTTTTAAAAAAACCACATCAATAGCAGTTATCATTAGGTGTGGTTGATGTAGGTGAGTGAGCATTTTGTGGTGAGAACCTTAAGAACATGTTTCTTTTGAGAAAAAAGCATTTTCTATTTCTTTTTGTTGTTTTCCTTATAATTACAAAAATATCATTTTGTTTCATGTTCTCAAAGATTTGTAAGAAGATGGTGAAAAGTGAAAACATGTTCCAAAATGAATTATGAAATCTAGGTAATGTTTATTAAGGTGTTTCTCAGTGCTTTGCACATGTATTCTCTTCCCTGCCTCACCCCTCTACACCCACAAAAAGAAAATAGATATAATGAAAAGATTCTTCTGATTTATGCATGATCATGAGTTTTCAAGATATTCCACTCATTCTGTTCCCTATACTTGATCGGGTCTCATGCAGTATTTTTCAAACATGGCACTTGCAAATACTAGTGTTGCGAGTACAACGATTCTGAGTTCCATGTCAGGTCTCTTTACCCTTTTCTTTGGAGCCATTCTTGGACAGGACTCAGTAAATATGACCAAAATAGCAGCTGTTTTAATTAGCATGGCTGGTGTTGCCATGACAACTATTGGAAAAACTTGGGCAGCAGATCAGCAGATTAGCATGTAAGTTGAAAATAGCTTGTTAAGGTGAAAAAGCTCTTTCCTCTAAATTCTAATGTTTCATCTCTGCAATCATTGCGTTCACTTTATAAGAGTGCACAAACAACTAATTCCTAGAAGAAAAAAGAATTTCAGTTTCTGTGAGGAATTTTACTTCTTAATTTTATTAATAAATATAGTGTACTAATAGCACAATACTGCAAAGATAAGGTTGTTACATTGTGACTTGGGAGTTCATAGATTCATATGTAACCTTTTTCTTTTTACATACTCATCTTCAAGTGTGTTTGAGTACAATCTCCATCTTAGTCCCTCTTAGTTAATAGACTAAAAGATTCATGTTGTTGGCAGGTAGAGTAATAGGAAATAGGTTAATTAATTCATATTTAAGTTGTCTTAAAGATTTTTCACTTTTTTTCTTAATGGACTACTATATATGTTCCCCTATATATTCTCTAACCATGATTCTTCCAATTTCTGAACTTGGAAACTTTCTTCTTACTAAGGACTCAAAAGCATTCTATCATTGGGGACATTTTTGGTCTACTCTCAGCAATATGTTGTGGCTTATTCACAGGTATGAATATTTAATTGTCAAAGGATTGTGTGAGTTGAATATCATTCTCAATCATTGGTCAATTAATTTCAGTGGTTCTCAAGAATTCTGTCGGATCAGGAGACAAGGTAGACATGGAAAAGCTTTTTGGTTGTATTGGTCTCTACAGTTTTCTTGCCTTTTGGTGGATAGGTATGAATTTCTTGGGGAGTTTTGCATATAATAGGGATTAAGAATTTCATGAATAATGTAACCTTGAGCCTTGGTTGCTACGATATTTTCTAACTAGACTAATCTGTAAAATTAATTTAGAAAAATTATGAAAACTCATCAAGATGAGATATCGACATTTTTAATACCATGACAATGATGTTATTAGACTTGAAGGAAAGCTTGTTTAGCTCTTTTTCTTTTACTTCTGCCTTTTCTCCCTTTTGATCAATTCTTATATACATCAACCACATTAGTGTAATGCATTTTTACAACACTGATTTTTCCCTGTTAGTCAAATAATTTGAATATTGGATAACTTGATTATTGCAGATTGCTATTTAGTTAAGAATTTCCTGCCTCATTTTTTTGTCAAACTTTTTAACTGGTGCTCTTGCGAGTTTCCATGCAGCGTGGCCATTAAATGCTGTGGGAATTGAACCCCATTTCAAATTTCCAAGTTCAATGTCCACTTGGGAGATGGTTATTGCGAATAACATCTGTTCAAGTGTGATTTCAGATTACTTATGGTAAGTTGAACAGCATCTGTTTATTGAAAAAGCTCGAGGGAATCTTTTTAGGATAAAACTTAAATAAAGTTACTTAGATGTTACCAGTGTTTTTCGCCAAACTAGAATTGAAGTTTCACCTCAATAATCTATGTAATCCTTGACTTATCATAGCATTAAGATGCAATTCCATTTCCAATCGTAGAAAAACATCAAAAGTGTCTAAGAAACTAGATCTAAGTTTTGTCATTTTTTAACTGAATTCCATATGGGATATGACTTCATTATGCTAATTAATGAACATATGGCATATCAAAGCATTAACATATAAGAACTGTTATATTATGTTTCATTAGTGCCTTTATGGTGTGTATGATACTTAAATCATATAGTACTTCTTTCACATAGTATAATCATAGGATAACAGTTATTACACAACATTCCATTTTATGTCAGCAACAACCATGAATATTGTGTCAGGGCACTCTCTATAATTTGGACAGCTCCTTTGGTTGCTACATTGGGCATGTCCTTGACAATTCCAGTTGCCATGATAGCTGACATGGTTATACATGGTCGCAAGTACTCTGCACTATACATCCTTGGATGCATTCAGGTTGGACTTCTCTTTTCCACCATGTATTATTACAATGCACTAACAACAAAAAAGATTTTACTCCTTTAGATTATCATATATGGCAAGATTGTTCACTTTTGTAAAAATCTTTACACAAATGATGTATGAGAATGATACTCTAAGATTTACCATTTTACCATATTATCTTATTCACTCATGAAACAATGTGATAAGGTAAATTCCTATCAGATATTTATGTAAAACTATTTTACACTGAGATGGTATAAATTAGTCTTAGAATTGGTTTGTGTTAGTTATATCCATGACTATGGTTTAAACATTCATTCTTTGGTCCTACTGGAGACAGGTTTTTGCAGGATTTACACTAGCAAACCTTTCGGATAAGATTTCAGGAAGTGATAGAGAATGAAGTTCGTGACGTTATGAGAAGAAAGGATTGTGTATATTAGATAAGGAAGAATCTTAGTACAGCCATGAAGCCATCACTGTGGAATGGTGAAGGGTCCATACACAATGACAGTTGCATACATAACAGAAATCAATGAGATTCAAAAAAGTGCTTTTGATATACTATGCAGTGTGTACCAAATAAGTCTTTTAAAAAAAACCTAGGATTTTTATCCTTATATAATAAAGTCGAGTCTTCATTTTTAATTGAATATATTTTTAAGAATTATTCTATTTCCATTAACCTGTATTAGTTCTCCTGCGTTGACTATCTATTTTATTATTTTTACTAATAATTTTTCATTTTTTTAGATACTACTTTATAAATTTCATTAATTTCAATTATATTTTAAATGTTAATATACTATCAAATTAAACATAATTTTTAAAATAAATTCGGTGTTAATAATGATATAATTTTAGTCAATCTTGATTTGATTTAAATTTTTTTTTTTAACATATATCAAAAGATAATTTTTATTTAAACTACCTACATTGGATACTTTAGCAATCTTCTTACTTTTTCTCGTTAACCATTCTCATCCTACTCAAATAATAACCTTTCCAAGTTTACTTGTTATAGTGGAAATCGGGGAGTACTTTAAAAAAAAAAATTATTTCAACGATCAAATTAGTCTTAGAATTAATGTTATAGTAAATATTAACAATATATTTTCTCTCTTATTTATTATTATTTATACTAATTTTATTGGATGTGAGTTCACACAACAAGCGGATGAAGGAATCATTATTATACCTTCCATTGCAATCTTCTCTTATCAGCCTGCTTAATCCTTGGTAGGGGCTAAAGACTCTTCGGCATTATCCTTATCTTTTCTCTCCGGTATAAATGCCACACGACATCCTAAAAACACCATTATCAGTCCTTATAGTTATTTCAAATGTGTAATTTTGATTCTCCATAATATTTTTATTGCGAAAAAGTTTGGTTCTACTTGGTTATCAAAATTAAGCATTATTATATCATTTAAAATTAAAAATTAGAGGGACTGAATTTGCGATAAAAAGATCTAGAGACCAAAATTATACGTTCGTGAAATTATAACAAGCAAAAATAAACTTAAGCCTTTTAGAAAAGTACTGACAAACCTTAGTGCACTTAACTGTGTTCGGTAAAGAGGAGAGAAATAAAGAAAAAAAAAAAAGAAAAAAAAGTGAAGGAAAAGGAAGTGTAAGAAAGCATGTAAAAAATAAAGTAGAAAAAAAATTTTACTTGGTAAAGGAGAAATTGAAAAAAATAATGATGACATCCTTACTAGCATTGATGGATTGGTTCATCAATGTGAGGACACCTTGACTCCTTGGATCAAGTTCTTCAAAGGTGGCACAAGGTTTTAAAGTGGATGATGATGGAATGAACGAAAATGGAGGTTGAGTAGAAGGTGTTTGAGGAAATGCTTGAGAAGGGTACTCTAGGGTTGACTCACTTCATGTTGATGAAGGCCACTTCTAGGATTGTTTCTCTCAAGGTGGAGATGATATGGTTTGGCCGAAAATAGCCAAAGGTAACTAAGGAAAGATATAAAGGCACAAAAGGCTCTCTTTATTATTCAATATCCAAAGTATTTATATGATGCATAGCCTAGGGTATTTATAAGAGTGGGAGGCATCTAGGGTTTCATTTGGAGAGTGCATGACTTAAATTCACAAGCCAAATGCACACCAAATGAAATGCAAATTAACCCTAGATGCAACTTGGTGGCCAAGGATGAAGTCTTTGGGATTAGTTAGGATACATCTAGGTGCATGATAAGACCATGCAACCTTTGCTCTCCACTTGAGCCTAAGCCTTTCTAACACCAAAAATAGGTCCAATAGCCACAAAAATACGTCTAGGTTTTTATTCCCACCCTAATCAAATACCTTAGCCCAAAAATAAAAACCTATGATCTAAAGCACCCCATAATACAAGGGTAAAATGAGAAATACAAAGAAAATAAGCCCTATGACTAAAATACCCCAAAATACAAGGGTAAAATTGAAAATACAAGTAAAATAAATTCTAAGACTAAAATACCCCCAAGATACAAGGGTAAAATAGGAAATCAAAGATAAGAGTAAAATAGGAATAAAAATAAATGCTATGCTAATAAAAACTTAGGAGCTAAGGTCCAAAAGTGGCCTCACTCCTCCTATGATTTTTCAACACTAACCCATTCCTTTTGCTTCCTTCAATACATCACCTCTTGGACTTCTTGGCCTTAGTGTTATTCCATCATTCATGTCTCTGTATATTTATTTTTTAAGAAATTTTAATAGGTGATTGTGGTGAAAAAAAAATTAAGATTTGAAAATGTGTAATAATTCAAAGTGATTTTTTTAATATTACATGTGAGAAAGTATGTAGCATGAATTTAAGAGTAAAAACCTTTGACAAGAAAGCGAAAATTAAAAGGTATATCATCTTTATAATAAACTAGTGAAAAAAGACATTTTGTGTCTCTGTTATAAAAAATTTAAAAAAAAATGCTTAGATAACTTTAAAAGACTGGGATGATTGAATAAATTAGTTAAGAAGGTAAAAAAGGTCCAAAATTGTGACCAGAAACATGGTAAGAGACATTTTAACATTAGCTTCAACTACATTTAAACACCAAGTGTAATTCTAGACATTTACACTAAATCTTATACTTTTAATAACTTTTTGTATAATGTAAATTTAAAAGATTCAATTGTTGAATTATGTGACCTTATACTCAAGATCATTTATATAAAATTTCATATGATTCAAAAATTATTTAGTAGTTCATCACAATGTTTTATTTTAACATATAATATGATATTCAAGATATGTATAAATATCGATTTTTGGAAAATATATATAAAAAAGTTCAAATCATGTGAAACTTGATATATATGATCGTGAGTATAATATCACATAATTCAACGATTAAATCAGTTAAACTTGCATTATAAAAAAAATATTAAAATATAAGATTTGGTGTAAATATTTAGACTTAAACCTAATGGTTACAGATTCTAACTTATACACATACAGTTGTTATAGGAGGGTCCATTGAGAGTCTAACACCCCTCCCAAATTCACATCAAAACTTGTGATCAAAATAAGTTTTTAAATCACATTAAACTTAATTTGATTCATAGTTCTTCATCTAAAAAATGGTATTGGTTGATCAAGTTTTATCTTAAGTGTCAGGAATACTAATATAAATCAAGTTATATCTAATTTCTCTCATTTTTAAATTTGGATAGTGAAGTACATATTCAATTAATATGATTTTTTTTAATTTATGTATAAGTTGTTGTAAAAGTTAAATTGTTTCCCTAATATTTAAAAACCATAAACTTTCATAGTTGTAAAACTCAGAATGTGAAACTATTTATATAATTGGTAAAAAAAAAAAAAAAAGATTTCGGCAACATTGATGGATTGATTCAAAATTACGAATTAGCATGACCCCATTAATATTGTTAATCATGTAAAATTAGGCTTGAGGAAATATTGATAGTCTAGAATTAGGCTAGATAGGATAAAGTCATTCATTGGTATAGGATAAACCCTAAACCTTGAAATGTAGTTTCTATTAATTATTAATGTAGTCACAAACAACACACATATATATTAACTTTAAAAAATCAATGACAAAAATGTGCAAAAGAAATAAGGAATGGGTTACTGTTGATTTGGACAACTAATAATTGATTAATATCGATGTGGAAGGGTCATATAGATATTGTTGAATAAGTTTGCGTGGTGGAAGGGTCTACCAATTCATATGCTAAAAGAGAAAAAATGGACTATAAATAAGAAGACTTATTTATAATTGTATTTTTAAAAAATTTAATTTTTTTTAATTTTTTTATTTACCAATATTATGTATGTACACAATAAATAACCCCATCTAGTTGGTTAGAATACACAAATTGAAACAGTTAAAATTTATAATAAATTCAAAATAAATAAGTATTATGTTTGAATATAAAATTATATGTAAGATTTGTATAAATATTAAATAGATATTTTTACACATATTATGACAAATAATTTATATTGTAACATAAAATTATTTTATTTATTGATAATTTATTACAAATGTTAATATTTTGTTGAAGAATAATTATGATAAATACTAATCGAATTAGATAAGAAATTTATAAACACTCTTGTTGAAGAAAAATCCCTAAAAATACTCTTGTTTAAAATAGAGATTCATATTTAATTTATAAGGATTGATCTATTTATTGATAATTTATTTAAAATATTTAAATAATTCATAAATAATTATGTTAAATAAAAAACAAATTAGATAAAAAGTTAAAAAAATTCTTAAAAACATTCTAACACAAAATAATGATTTATATTTAATATATACAAGTTGATTTTCAATTGATTGATAATGTAAAATATTTTATATTCATAATGTATAATCATTAAAATTTAAAAATTAAAAATATAATAAGAAATTATATAATACTTGTATTTTAAATATACAATACACATGAACTTTTATTTTATACAACTAAAATTTATAATAAATAGATACTTTTATCATGTAAATTTTATTTTAAATTGATGATAAAAATTAATTTTAATTAATAATTTTAAAAAAATTAATTTTACTTTTAAAATGAAATAAAAATGATAAATTGAAAGATTTAAAAAATTAAAAAATCTCTAAAAAATACTCCAACCAAAAACACTCTAATAAAAAACATCCCATGGATCAAAATAATAATTCTAATTTATATACATTAATTTTTTTCACAAAATCCAAAATATTAATTAAAAAATATAAATGTAAAACAAAGTATGCCTGAGGAAGTATTTATATATAATATTTGTGGTTTATATATTTTTATATTTCACTCATTGACGTTGTTCATTGGGCGGCAGTACGATAGTTTATTTTTGTAAGTGTAACGTTCAAAACCACGTCGTTTCGCATAAAACAAAATCAGCAAGCACAAAGGGGAAAGAGAGAAAACGAAAAGAAAGTAATATCATTCTTCCTCTTCGCAACGCACTCTGAAGCAGATCCAGAGAGAGAGAAACGACGTCGTTGAGTGCAGAATGGAGAAGGGAAAGGGGTTGATGGGATCAGGTGGAAGAAGATGGGGCGTTGACCTCTCAGACAATTCCACTTCTCGCGATATTCCCGATCCTCCTGGTTTCTCTCGCGCTTCTCTCGACCAGGTTCCCTTTTTTCTCGTTATATTTAATCTTTTTCTTCTTCTTCTCAAATTCCATTAAATTCAAATTCAAATTCCGATTCCAATTTTGCAGGACGATTCGTCGCTCAGTCGCCAGAAGAAGGACGCTGAATCCAATTGGAAAGCCCAGGTTTACCTTCTTCCGATTATTATTATTATTATTATTATTTTAATTTATGCTAATTCATTGTTGGTGAAATTATAATTTTTATTTAATTATTGTTATTATGATGATGATGATGTTGTGAACAGAAAGCTTGGGAGGTAGCACAAGCCCCTTTGAAGAATTTGCTGATGATGGGGTTCATGATGTGGATGGCTGGTAGCACGGTCCACTTGTTCAGCATTGGGATTACCTTCTCCGCTCTTTGGCAACCCATTAGTGCCCTGCAGAGTGTCGGAAAGAGTCAGTATCTATGCTTTGACCTTGTCATCTCATTTTAGTCTCTTTGTAGATAAACTTCTTCATAAGAATTTTCAGGAGAAGCTAAAATTAGTTTGCACGAGAGAGCTCCTTAAGATTAGTTTGCACATAAGCTAATTTTATCTTTTTGGAGGAGTTTAAGGGCTGTTTTGGATGAGCTTCTTCATAAGCACTTTTAGGAGAGAAAATAGGAAGGAAAATTGAAATAAGTTTTTTCATAAGCTAAAACTAGCTTATGCATGAGTTAAAAACAAGATTTTAAAGAAGCTAACAGTAAAAAAACTTATTTTATTTTTTGTTCTTATTTTTTTCTCCTAGAAGGACTTCTTCAGAAGTTTATGCAAATAGGCCCTATCCAATTAACTTCTCTAAAATCTTATTTTTAACTCTTGCATAAGCTAGTTTTAGCTTATGGAGAAGCTTATTTCAATTTTCCTTCCTATTTTTCTCTCCTAATAGTGCTTCTGAAAAAGATCATCCAAACAGGCCAATAATATAAATTTTTCAATTGAATATATGGTCTGGGACTGCTAATGCATTCCTTTGGTTTTTGCAGTGTTTGAGCCCTACAAAGACAATAAGGTGGAGCTTCTTGGTCCCAAGTTGTTATTCATAGCCCTTAATTTGGGTGGCCTAGCATTGGGTGTTTGGAAGGTAATGTATATGTATTAGTCATGTTGCACCTTGTCATCCTCGTCATGTTACTTGTAATTTTAAATTTCTAAGTAAACGAGTTTATGTGCCATTGTTGTTGTAAAACTTGAAAAAACGAGTTAAATTGCTTGTGAACTCTTTTGTTTATATCATACAAATTGAGGAAAACTGTAACAAATTTGGTAAAACTCTTTGATCAACTAGCAAGTTTACAAGCCTAGAGTTGTATATGGTTTAGGCCTCATAATGTATGGCTTTGGTTGGTTTTGTTCGATACTAAAATTGAATTGCTTATGTTCTGCAATATATAAGGGGTTTATGATGCTAATTTGATGTTTTCATTATTATTTCTATTCTGTTTTGTTCAACTACCAAAAAAAGAAATCATAAATTCCTGGCGTATTATAATATAACTGGGGTCAAGTGTTGAGTTATGCTTTTACTTTGTTACTTACGTTTGCTTTTTTATGGAGTTGGAATGTTTGATATTATGTATATGCTATTGAATTATGTTTGGGTACTATAAATTTTTATGTTATTGAAGTGTTGAAGAATTATTTGAGTTTACTAGAATTATGCAAGTTTATTTGAACCCTCAGGTTTGACAACCTTGATTCCATATACATACTTTTTTATAACTTGTGATATTCCTGTTCTGCAGCTCAATGCATTGGGGCTTCTTCCTACGCACACATCAGACTGGGTCTCGTCCTTGGCACCTGCTCAGGTTGGATTTGTGTTTTTAATACTTGAATGTGATATTTGTTCTAGGTTTTGTAATATTTGAGCCCTCTTCAAACAATAGTTAAAAGTTAGACACATTATCTTGCTGGCTCTGTTGTATTATGACAAAAGCTGAGCATTTTCTAGGATCTCTTCCTGACTATTCAGGTGGGTAAATAGTTTAATTCAACACTTTGCTGTTTTATTCTACGAGGTTGCAGCTTACATGCTTTATATGTCTGAATATAATTTGATAAACAATTATCATTATCTCATCTTGTAAAATTGATGGTGTAATTTGTTTTAAAATTATCGCAAAATAATGAATTTCAGCATTTTCAAGACATTTTGAATGAAATACATATTGCAAGAGTTTCTTATTGACAGCCTGGATTTCAGGCAGGAATTTTATTCTATTAATCCATTTTTCTTGTAAAGCCATAGTACTTTTGTCTTGGTTTATTATTTTTGTATTCTTCCCACAAAGAAGTCAATTATCTATCATTTTGATTTTATTGCTACTGCTTACAATCATTATTGCTGCTGGTTCTTAATTTTTTCTAGCTGTCAATTTATTAATCTCTTTCATACTTCTCAATTCTATACTCTGGTAGTTACTCTTTTTTAACGTTGTATTTTATTTTATTTATATATATATATATATATATATATATATATGTATGTATATATATATTTGTGTCAAATTTAGATTCCTGATCTTCCTACCCAATGCATTGATTATTGTTTGGCAACAATACATGTAGTTCCATAAAAGAAAAAGGGCATTACATTTGAAATTGCATGCCTATTTATAATTCGAACTTAATCAGTTTTACTTTATTGAGCTGAAACTGTTATTGGAGGTTGCAAAATAACATTTGCAAGTCACTCTATGGTTGTCAGAGCAATTATAGAAGAACCATAGGTATATGATGTATAAAAGAAACATGTAGCAATGTCAAAATAGGAACGCTTTAAATTTACTTTGTAATGTTAACTATATAGTGTGAATGTTGATTTTAAAAATAAATCTATAACTGGGTTTTATAAAAAAAAAAGGATATAAAATTGGTTGGCATGTCTCCTACCTTTTGTCAATTTAAAGATCTGATGATTGGTTTGTGTAATTATCATGATTATGATGCCATAATGCCTATAGTTCCCTTGCTTTTTATGCTCATAACCTTACTTTTTTCTTATCTTCAGGAGGTGGAGTTTTCAAGTGGGGGTGTAAATTTGGGTTGATGTGCCAGTTCCTTTCATGCCTAACTTGACTTGGATGGATTTCAAGTAAACAAGGATAAGGAATCAGTTTCGAGTGGTTAAAAGCATATTTTAATGGCTATGATGGACCGCGTGAAGCATGACTTGTTTTCAATTTCAAAAAATGTTGTCAATGCTTGCAGTGATCAAAATTGGACAGGATTTGTAGTAGTAGACTGGAAGTTTTTCAAATAATTAAGAAGTGTTTTCTATTTATATTTAGGATTCTAATATTTGCACATTATAATTTTCTACATGTCGATCATCAGTTTTCATATGAAAGAAAATGATGTGCAAGAATCTCCTTACATTTAATGTGCAAGAATCTCCTTACATTTATGAAGCATTAGCTAATGATTTCTTTTATATGATTCACCTTTCACCACCGAATCCCTTTAAAAGGGGATTCAGATTATGTGCAGTTATATTTTGGTGCAATTGTGTGCAATTTAATAAATTTTTATCACACAATTCATTCACATTCTGTCACATAATTTTTTTTACATTAAAAGTAAAATGAGAAATTTTATGATACCAATATTATGAGACTTAGGTACCAACTACCAAGTTATTTTAAAAACCTGAATTTCTGCATTATTAAGAAATTTCAAGTTAACTAGTTTCCTAAAGCCTTTTAAGGGATTTGGATTAGGTACAGTTATGTTTTGATGCAGTTGTGTGCAAGTTAATAAATTTTTATCACATAATTTGTTCAGACATTCACATTCTGACTCATCATTTCTTTTACATTAAAAGTAAAGTGAAAACTTTTATGGTATTTATATATTTTAGGGTACCGATACAATTGTAATTATAGTTTTATTTTATATTTTATATTTTTAATAATTTATTTAAATAATATTAATAATATTTTGTTATTTTATTTTTTAAAATTATTTAATCATTTTATTTTTATTTTATATGTTTTAATTT